ATTCATAATAAATATTTCATAATATTTATAATAAATATTTATGATCTGTGTAATCTAAGACCACAAAAATATTTACAAAATATTTATTATATAATAAATCTTATAAATATTTATAAATATTTTGTAAATATTGTGTGCTGTCTGGGAATGTTAAAAAATTGCTCATAATTTTAGTGTATAAAATTATACATAGTTATTTTACAAGCAATTTTTTAATATTTTTTAAAATTTAATTCATCAAAAACAAATAATGCGAAAATTATCGTTTTAATGTCTTTCCGTTGTTATTATTATTATTTTATTACATTATGAAAAGTAATTTTACAAAAAGAGGAAGGATGTATGCGGTCATATTTCATATATATAATTATATATGTTTATGAATACTTATGCATATTTACGAATGTTTATACATATTTACATATATTTGTGCATGTAAAATTCTTTGCTGAGATGTAAAGACGATGAAAGTTAACCTGGGACACGGACAAGATTTATCGTGGGTAGTAAAGTAAATATTAAGAGTTAATATACCATTATTCAAACAAAATGTGAATCACAAATGGCGAGTGAGAGTGAAGCCTGATTTATAATGGCCGTAACCGTTAACTTATGACGGTGCCGGTAAAGTTTAACCATAGGATTTCAATGCTTTCGTTCATACTAACTTGCCGTATTAGTATTGAACGAAAGCATTGAAATCCTATGGTTGAACTTTACCGGCACTGGCATAAGTTAACGGTTACCCCGGATCTACAATAGGGTTTTAAGCCTTAAGCCATAAGAAATGGGCGAATCACAGTCGATTATTCCCCTCGGATTCGACTATAATTGGTCAGTTTCTTACGGCTTAAGTCTTAAAACACCTATTGTAGATCCGGGGTTACGGCCATTATAAATCAGGTTTAAAGCAGTATCTTGATTGCTCATCGGCTTAAGTTTACGTCTTAAGGTTACTGTTACAGAAATTTTGTCTGCGGCAGCCCTAAGTAATGTCTTAAGACACTAATGCGGCCCTCGAATTGGTTCGTGACATCTTAAGACTGTACTTAAGACGGTCTTGAATATAAGATCTGATTATGGCCGGTATTCATAGCCTACTTTTACACCGTGCGTTTAGGCCGCAGCCTATACGATAGGTGTCCTTGTTTATCTTGTAAGTTAAACAAAAACACCTATCGTATAGGTTGCGGACTAAGTGCACGGTGTAAACGTAGCCATTGTCAA